AAAGTCTCTACTTTATTATGATTTTAGGATATAAGATATCACATGATTTGTAAATAAACTTCAGAATACACTTCTTTCATTTTTAACTAATGATAAGCACCTAGTATTTTTCCCCAAGAAACATACTTGTAGTTATAATTTAGTGACTGAACACAGTCATATAGAGATACAATTATTACAATCTTCAGATTACAAGCAGATCCATAGCTTTTCATCACAGAAAATATTTGAAATGAGTTCTTGCTTTGTCTTCTGAAGATTAGTAGTTTTTAGGATAGATTAGTGACCTTATAGATAAATCCTGATCTGTTCTTCAGGTGTCGTAGAAAAAATTCATTAAAAGACACAAGGCAGCACATTACAAACATCTCACTTTAGGAATCAGAGGTTTATTTATTGAAATTTAGAGCACAAAGCAAAATAAGGACCAGCTTTGGACCAGCAGTCATAGAGATAGCTAGGGGCAAGTGGCCTCGAACCAGATCCAGACCACATCTTGTATACCTTAACTCATCTTAAACCACAGACAGTCAGCAACCTTACACTTTCTGATCAAACTTTCTGCTGATCATAACTTTCCACACACCCGTGTACATCGGAACTCGCACCCATCAACTACTTTCAGTTCCCTGTTTCTCACAGTTCCAGTCCTTATGATCTAAATATATTTGAAACAATCAAGCATAGCAAAATCATATTAAGTAAAGTCCAGTTGCAATTGGGATTACAAATAGCCCCTTCGGATTGTAAAACTGGGCATAGCACAGACTTTGGTTCAATACTTTTTCCATGAGGCCTGATTTAGTTCACCTGTGCCTAAACCTTGCCTAGAAGAACAATAGCCAATATTTTCGTTTCTCACAAGGGGTTGAGGACAACTTTCTGCAGCCAACTCACCCTGGCCAGCATACCATGGCCAACTCATAACTGGACAACTCTCCACAGGCAACTTCCCATGGGACAACTTTCTGCTGGACAATTCACTCTTGTAATTCTGGATTGACTTTCTTTATTTTATTATTATTGACCATGATTCCTTTGAGATTAGTTTAAATTTTGTATTTGTTGAATTATCCTGAGGCAAGTTATTCCATGGTAAGTTGGCCACTGTGAGTTGTCCCGCAGCAAGTTGGCTGTAGTGAGTTGGCCATGGTGAATTGGCCATGGTGAGTTGGCCATGATGAGTTGGCCATGGTGAGCTGGCCATGGTGACTTGGCCATGGTGAGTTGAATATGGTGAGCTGGCCATGGTGAGTTGGCCATGGTGAGCTGGCCATGGTGAATTGGCCATGGTGAGTTGGCCATGGTGAGCTGGCCATGGTGAATTGGCCATGGTGAATTGGCCATGGTGAGTTGGCCATGGTGAGCTGGCCATGGTGAATTGGCCATGGTGAGTTGGCCATGGTGAATTGGCCATGGTGAGCTGGCCATGGTGAGCTGTCTCATTCCAGTTCTTCAGATGGGCCTTTAGGTGTTTCAAAGAATATTCGGAAAGTAGCTATTCTAACTTTTTTCTCATCTGGGACCTAAGTAATCAACACTGATTTTAAAGCATAAAAACAACAACAACAATTCTCTACTTTTTAATGAAATGGTTAGCTAAGAGAGAAAAGAACGGAAGAAGAATTAATTGACTTTGCTTTTCATCAAAATTTGATCAGTATTTCGTCATAACTCCTTGCCCCCAAAGTGAATTTAGCCTTTATAACTCAAAGTAATGTTTAAAAGCTATTAAACCTTTGTCTTCCTGTCTCAGTTTTTCATGCCTTCTGTATTATAATGCATTTTTATCCTTTCCTTAAAAGTAGCTAACATAAGAACTAAAAAGATGGCAGTAGCAGGATTATTCTCCCTAACTTTTCTAGATTACAAGCTTAAACGAGAATAGTTGCTTCTCTATGGATGACACTTTATTCT